TTTTTGGACATTTAGAAAGAAAAAGAAGAAGAAGAAGAATGAAAATCAAAAGTGCAGAACATACCTGTTGAAAATCAGAAGAAGTCGCTGTTGTACTGTTGAAGAAGAAGGAGAAGAACCCTAGTTGATGCTTTGAGATTATATCAGAAATCAGAAGTAGATAAAGAAGAGAAGAAGAAATCGCTGCTGTTGTTGAAGAACAACCCTAGTCTCGCTGCTGTTGAAACAGTCCAGACAGTGTTTAGAAACCTCGTTTTTAATAAAATAGGGCTTGAGTATTTTAAACAGAGAAGCAGACGCTTCTAACGCTTCTTCTCGCTTCACCACTTCTCGCTTTTTACAGAGAAGCAGTCGTTTTTTCTTACTTGAGTCGTTTCACCTACCTGAAGCGCTGCCCTTCACGCTTTGCCTTGCTTCTCGCTTAAAGCGAGGAAGCAAGTGCTTTTTAAATCACTGGAGAGGGGAAGGGTGAGGTTGGGACCATGTCACTTGGGAGTTCCTTGAGAAGGATTTCGACCATGTCAATTGGGAGTTCCTGGATTTCATTATGATGCGGATGGGGTTTGGGGTAAGATGGAGGGGATGGATCAAGTTCTGCATTTCCTCAGTCAGATTCTCTGTCCTGGTTAATAGTAACACGTATGGTTTCTTTGGCAACTCCAGGGGTCTCAGGCAAGGTGACCCCCTATGCTATTCGTTCTAGTGATGGATGCTCTGAGTAAAATGATGGATCGTGTGGCGGGCGGAGGCTTCTTGAGAGGATTCTCAACTCCGACCTAGGTGCTTAGTGCCCGAAGAGTATCTCATTTGCTATTTGCGGATGACACCCCGATTTTTTGTGATGCCGATATGGATCAGTTGATCTACTTGAAGCAGGTCCTGCAGTGGTTTCAGATAGTATCAGGACTCAAAATCAACCTCGGCAAGTGTGAGATTTTTCTGGTGGGTGAGGTTGCTAACATTGGTGCTTTGTCTTATGTTCTCAGATGTAAGGTGGGCTTTCTTTCCGCTACTTATCTGGGTCTCCCATTGGGCGCTTCGCATAAGGATACTACCGTTTGGAATCCAGTGATCCAAAGAGTTGAAAAAAGATTAGCAACCTAGCAGAAATGGTACTTGTCAAAGACGGTAAGGACGTGCTTATTAAAAGCACTTTATCGAGTATGACCACCTATTACTTGTCCCTGATGCAAGCTCCTGTGAGCATCACAGAAAAACTGGAGCGACTTCAAAGGAATTTTCTTTGGGATGCGACGGATGGAACTAGAAAGTTTCATCTAGTGAATTGGCAGACTGTGACTTCCCCAAAGAAGTGGGGTGGACTTGGAGTAAAGGATCTTAGGGTATTCAACAGAGCTTTGTTGGGGAAGTGACTGTGGAAATTCGGGGTAGAAGAGCATGCTCTATGGAGGGAGGTCATAGTAGAAAAGTATGATTCCACCGGAGGGGTTGGAGGACCAAGGCAATCACAACACCTTTCGGGTATGGAATGTGGAGGAGCATCATGCAGAATTGGGAAGCCTTCAATGGCAACGTCACTTATAGGGTGGGAGATGGAAGGAGAATCAGCTTTTAGAATCACAGATGGTGTGGAGAGGATACTTTGAGGGTCTCTTTCCCCCATGTCTTCAGAGTTTCAAATCAGAAGGAATTGATGGTCTAACAGATTCGCTAGGAGCATGAGGGGGGGGGGGGGTTACTATGAGACCTCTCATTTAGAAGGAACATGCAAGATTGAGAGATTGCGGAGCTCCAAGATTTATTGCCACTGCTATATGAGCAAGACATGCCCCAGCCATCTTGTGATTCTAGATGGGGGTTGCGTGGCGATGGTTTGTTCACCGTAAAGTACTCCTTTTACCAGAGTATGTTGGTGAGAGAGAAAATCACTTTTCCATACTCCTCGATCTGGATTCCTAAGGCGCCCACAAAGGTGTGCTTTTTTGCATGGCTAGCGGCAATGAGGGTGATCTTGACTGCTGAAAATCTGCGAAAGAGAGAAATTACACTTGTTAGTTGGTGCTACATGTGTAAAAGCTCAAGGGAAGAAGTTGATCACCTTTTGTTGCATTGCCCTGTGTCCTCCGGTTTGTGGAGGACAATTCTGAATTTTTTTGGTGTTCAATGGATGGTGCCAAGCACTGTAAAGGAAATGTTATATAGCTGGGCCGGTTTCCGTAGGAGAAGAAGAAAGCAAAAGGCGTGTAAGTTTGTCCCGTTAGCTCTCACATGGATAGTTTGGGGGAGATAAATAGGAGAGCTTTTGAGGGGATTGAGTCTCCTTTTTCACATCTTAAGAATAATCTTTTATCTTTGATCGCTTTTTGGTGCACTGATATAGCCCCTACTTGTATAGAAGATTGGGTGTCTTTTGTAGAGAATTATGTTTTGATGTAAATTCTCTACTTTTTGGTATACTTCTCGTGTACGTGAGTTTCTTCTCCCTTTTGATTAATACAATTTACCTTATCAAAAAAAATAAAAATACTCTCTTCAGTTGGGTTTTTATCTTAGCAAAGTTTAGTTTCGAATTTAAGAGTCCTTTGAAATAACTTCCTTGTGATCTTACTCTAGTTTGTCGACTTTTAGCACCTTCATTAATCATATTGCCACCTATAGATCGATGCATTCAAAGACCAATATGGGACATGACTGAACAATCTTAGATGACCTATTATTTTATCTTTTATGTGTGCTACTTGCACTATTTGTTGGATGCTCTAATCTTCTCCCGTCTTTTATGACTGAACATCCATTTCAACATTCACATTTTTGTAAGGTGGCACAATCATCTTGTAAATGTTAGCCCGTACAAGCCCAACATTCGCTTATATAGAACATTGGTCCCGGACATCAAATACGGCCTAAGAAACAATTTCCACCCACTCAAAATGACCATATTATATTTTTAGCATTTTACAGCCATAAAACTGCAAANATGGATCCGTCGTGGAATCGCCTAATATTTGTCCCGGACATCAAATACGGCCTAAGAAACAATTTCCACCCACTCAAAATGACCATATTATATTTTTAGCATTTTACAGCCATAAAACTGCAAATCCGCGCGAGTCCCAAATTTTTGTGTGCTATAGCCCATGCCTTCCGCCTTGGGCCCGGATGGATCCATCGTGGAATCGCCTAATATTTGTCCCGGACATCAAATACGGCATAAGAAACAATTTCCACCTCGTATAATTGTTTTATTCACTTGTTTTTCACTTTGTTAAGGTGGTGCTCATTCAAGATAGTTTTTTCCCAAATTGCATAAGAGCCTTCTCAAGTTGATGTGTGATTATGTTTTTCAGAGTTTTTGTTTTGGCCAAAAACCTTTGTTGAAGTTGTTTGAGGTGTTTTGCGAGAAGTTTTTCTTCATAAACCTCTCTTTTCACTCACAAAACACCAGCAAAATCTTAAAAGAACTACAATTATCCAAACACATCTTCAGTTTCCTCACAAACTTTATTTCTGAAAATTTTCTTCAAATATTGTCCAAACGACAAGATCTTTATTGCGCTGCTATAAGAATCTTCTATATCAGCTGTCATAATTTACTTTTATGTGTTACATCTTCATCAGCCATGTCATTTTATTTGGATGACCTAGCTAAATATCTGAATTTTCGCTGTTTTGGCACCTCAATCTCATCTAATCTCACCTTACTTTCATTCTTCTTATGGTAGCTAAATCGGCAGTCCTCATATTCTGACATACATCTAATTCACATCAAATCATTATTGTCCAGATTTTTTATTTGCTCGCTCCCTTATTCATTTAACTCAATATTGTATGCAAATAGTACTTTCAATCCCTCTCTTTAATCTCACACTCTCCTATCAAAACTTGTTACAGATCATTTTGAAAACATATCACATTTTTCAAGTTTTATCCCTTTTTCTTCCTGTTGTGTTAGCTTATACTAATTTTTTCTCTGTTCCCCATCCTTAGCTTTTGGTACAAGTCGTCTAGCCTTTGCCTCAAGTTTTGCTAATCGCCCTTTTAGCTTCTCTTCCCTGACTCATCAGAGGTTTCTCCATCTTCTTATTTTGGTAGTCTTATGCCATTCTCTTTTTATTTTAATAGTTCGTTGCACCTTCTCTTGAGCTGAGGGTATATAGGAAACAACCTCTCTACCTTCTCATTCCATCACCACAACTCTTGTGGTTGAGATCCCATGCCTTTTGTCACACCTACAACTACACTTGCTAATTTCTTAATGTAGCTTATCATTTCCTTCCATTGGGGATGTTTGTGTTAGTTTTCAAGTCCTATGCTCCCTCAGTCAATAACTTATACTTGAATTAGAAAGATGGAAAATGATCATGAATTCAACTTAAAAGCCATTTTTCCCCTTTTAGAGTCTCCAATTTATCATAGACAATAAATTTAGCCACCTCATGACAACACCCCTCAATGTAACTCTAAGATTCAAGAATCAAATGTAGCGAAGTCTGGCAATTCATAGTAACGCTTTTCTGGTCTAGCAGTTAAGACTCAAAATGCTTAAGTTTTGGCTTTAAGGGTTCAAAATCTTAAAGAATTCAACTTGTCAAGTTCCTAGCCAATGACTGGCGAAAATAGAAATCATTTTTTCTCTACCATTCAGTTTGTTGTACTTCTTCCTTCGGAATCCTGATTTACTTGTCATCTTCTCCATTTCCTTCTCCCCTCCAATTTGTTGCATGTCTTCCTCCTCCTGGGTCCTTCTTCGTTTGTCCATTTTCTATCTCTTCAATGCCATCCAATTAGTCAGTTCAATATTCAATTCCCTATCGCTAATCAAGTTTCTTGATAAGGTCTCGTATCATTTGCCTTTTTAAAAATAAAATAAAATATACTGCCCCCACAAAAACACAAGCCTCCTCCATAGACTCATTCTTTGATTCTTCATAAAACCAAAGAATGGCCCATAATGATGGAGCTTAGCTTTTATTGCATTACCTCCTTCCCTTAGACTTGCTCCCTATTTTTAGATGGAGTGAAGCTTACGCTTAGCAGTTATGAATTGTTGCGATTCTTGTTTATATGAGCAACAATGCAGGGACCTGGAAAATCTTGAAGTACATGCAAGGGAGACTCTCTTCAGCTTATGTGAAATTGAAGCTTTGTATGAATTATTTAAAAAGATAAGAAGTATTGTGGTGGATGATGGGCTGATCAACAAGGAAGAATTCCAGCTTGCACTATTCAAGAGGAATAAAAACGAGAGCTTGTTTGCAGATCAGATTTTTTACTTATTCGTCACAAAGCACAACGGGGCATTGAATTTCAAAGAATTTGTTCGTACTCTTTCTGTATTTCACCCATATGCTCCTACTGATGATAAGATTGATTTTTCATTCAAGTTATATGACCTTCACAAGCAAGGATTTATCGAAAGATCGGGGATCAAACAAATTATAATAGCTACAATAGCTGAATCTAGTATGGATCTTTCAGATGATGTCATAGAAAGCATTATTGAGAAGACCTTTGAACAAGCAAACACCAAATGCTATGGCAAGATCGACGAAGATGAGTGGCGTCGCCTTGTTCTGCGGCAACCAATTCTCTTGAAGCACATGACCCTTCAATACCTCAAAAATATCACCACCACATTACCTAGTTTTATTCACTCTCAAGTTGAAGATACGTGAGTTGTGGACGATACTCGTATCCAGTGCTATGGTCATTTTCTCGTCAGGAACATGGTAATCTTGTTAACAGTTACTAATTACTATAAGAAAACCTTGTGCTTCCCCAGAGGTTTTCATGATATTTACGATTCACAGGTTTATCCGTAAGACGCTTCTACTTGGAAAGCTTTGGAAGGACTACTGCAGGTTTTATGGTGGTTACTATTATTCATATATATTCCATAGTTGCAGGTTATTCTGTTGCTACAAGCCTGCAATAGCATTTGCCTTTATATATGCTCAATGGTGAAAAACTTCTATGAACTCTACTCCGAGGTAATACTGCCTGAGGATTGTTATGTTTTTAATTTTCAGGGCTTTGCTATATGCTGTGTCCACCATCTTGGTTTGGCAAAAGGAAAAGGAAACCAAGTGCTAATTAATTAGGTAAAAACTGGTGAGCTACATAAAGTTAAAAAGAAAGAAAGAAAGAATTGCCCATTGAGAATGATATGAGCAAGTTCTGAGTGAGAAATGTTGGGAATAAACCCCCACAGAAATAATATTCACGGCAATAAAAGTGGAATAATAATGTAGCACCGAGATACGGTAATTAACAAGAATAAAAGAGTAACAACGACACCAAGATTTTTACGTGGAAAACTCTTTTAATAAGGGAAAAAACCACGGTCCCGAGAGGAGCAACTGATATCACTATAGTAAGGAATTTTACACTTTGTAGGTCGGAGTAAAATACTCCAACGACCACTACAATACTCAAAAGAAATAACCCTCTTTTGATATTCCCACCTCACTACAATATCGCTCACTCTCTATTTTCCTCACAGACTATTTTCTTATACCTTGTCTGTGAAACCTCACTCTTTCTTTCTCTCTTTGTTGGTGTGAAGAAATGAGAGTTGAAGCTCTCCTTTTATAGCCAAAGCTTCAC